CAAGACCAAGTTGCGACAACGAGGTCAACCCATTTCTATAAGTCAAAAGGAGACTGCGACCATACTCGAGGCCACAACATCTTAGTCTTCACATCTTGATATCGAAATGTTTAATATGGTTGCTTTAGAGACTGCGTATAGGCTTCTAAAGATACACGAAAGAAAGACTTGACATAAAAGTGACTTTAGAGGTCGTTATGCCAACAAAGATCGAACAATGATCACTTGCTTTCGCTTTCCTGTCTTTGTGGATGTTGTTCTTATAATGTTGGCTTGCCCAGTCTATATTGTACATGCTCAAGAATAGTTAAAATGCGATTTCGACCTAGTATAAATCCCAGCATCCTCCTCACGGGAGACTGGATGTTAAATTCTGTTTCCATGACCGAACATAGAATCTACTAGGCAGCACGTCCTTAGAATCTAAGCTAGATGGTAGGTATGCATTAAAAAACAAAGCAGGATTCCTTAAACTTACATTTAGTGGTAGCTTCTTTTGCCAAATTCCTTGATACCGAAGTTATCACTATATAGCGCCTAATTGGAATTTCTGACTTAGTTGTACAGAATCTAATCAAATTCAATTTTGACTCATTTAATGTAGGTAAAAAAATGCAGATTACTTGCATTATCCTATAAATATACAAAATAGCTCGATTTACTAAAAGCCCGTAAGAATTTCTTGTTATGAGGACCCAGAATGAGCTGGATGAGACTTACGATTCTCAATGGGCCATTATATGCATCCTTGGCCATCATCATGTTATCTTCCCAACCTGAGCGACTAAGCTATGGTACGTCACCCTGCAAGGATGTACACACGTCCAAGCATCCGCTTCCCGACAGAACATTATCCTAACATTGCTGAAGCAGGGGTAGGTGTCAAAACAGAAAAGTGTGCAAAAATTTCTAAGTGGAAAGAGATTTTGTGAAAATCTCACCTGTCCAGCAAGAGGGGTGCGTTTCTTGAGGCCAGTTTGGCCGGACAGCCTAAGGCTAGTCGTGACGTGGGTCCCAATTGGCTCTGTGAAGCTTGAATGACCCATGAAGTGGCCAGAGTTGGGCCTGCTCCCGCACCAATTCTGCCAATCATCGGCCTCGAAAGGGGCGAATTGCTTTCGGTGTTGCCGGCCAGAGAAGATGGGCGCTGCGACGCCAATGACGAAGGTGGAAGAGAGGAGACCAGAGGAAGGCAATCGGTCCGATCAAATAACTCCTCAGCGCTGGCGCGCATTAGGTGACTGGAGAATAGAAGAAGATGAGGCAAAGGCAGCTCTTCAGCTGCCGCCTCGAAGAGTCTATCTACCAACTGGCTAAGAGCACACAGCACCAAGCCCGTCTGTCGGACTGTCAGTAGGCCAGTGGAACCGACAGCCGCCGGAGAGGAGGCTGTTGCTGCGGGTCCAGAAACTGCAGAATTGAGGCCCAGCTCCAGACCAGAGTTAGATGAGGAGCCGGCACGTTTAGTGAACTCAGCAACCATTTCAGACACTGAGGTGTTCACCGGGAGTCGGATACTGACACGAAGACCGGAAGGGTATGTTTGCATCAAGGAAGTAGGAGAAAGTCTTAAAATCAAATGACTGCAATATTACGATAAATTAGTCCCTGTTTCGGCTAATAATGAAGTA